TATAGTTCTTCAAAAAGCACAAATGCTCAAATCAAACTCTAGAATGAAATGAACTAATGAATTGTGATGTGACCAAACCAAGATCTGAAAATCCAAACCTGATTCTAAAGAGACTTAAACTAACCAAAGGAAAAGCACTCATCTAGTTTAGACCATGCCACATGAAGTCCAATATTCTACATGTCTAACAAATAAAGCCTCAGTCAACCTACTAAACTATGATACTAATTCAACTTATACACAAGACTCAAGTCAGTGACATAAATGAGCATAAAGAAACTAAATTGCAGCAGAGCTGAATGATCTTAAAGAAATCAAAAGACTAGAGATTCAACAAAAAGTATTTGCCATTAGAGTTCCATGTTGGACTACATTTTTTGCACTTCACATGTCATTCAAGGTGCAGGAGCTACCTGGGAGTCAAGCAAAGTAAAAGAGTGAGGATTTCAACAAGCAAAGATGTAGCAAGGCAACACAATCAATCAGCAAAAATTAGCTCCTTCAGTCCATACTCAAACCCTAGAAATTTGACAAGATGTTCAAGCTTTAAACCCAGAATGAAACCAACTAACAGTACTCGAACTTTTTTTTATGTGTTTTCTAGTTCTGAAATTCCTATCAGTATATGTATTTTCAGTGTTTTTGATGCAGAGAAAATGATGCTTTTTCCAAATCCGCTTTTCTAGTGAAGGAAGGGTCCTTATTTATAGGCCTCTAAGGCCATGTGCCTGAAAACAGAAATCAGAATATTTCCAGCCTGCAAAGACATCTTTTGTAACTAATTGGGACAGTTGGCAGCCTTTAATTGGCTCCAGATTGGGCTAGCTACCCATATTCTAGAAACTCCTAATGCTAACCTTATCTGAGCACCCCAATTCTACTTCTCAAATTAACCCCCTTAAATTCCTAATTGTTCAACTAAAACCCTAGGAGTTTCTAACCATTTACAAACTGAGGCAAACATCACAAAGCAAATCGATATGAGTGAAACCAATCAAACAATAAACATATACTGAAGAAGGTGAAAATCCGGACCCTTGACACAAATTAGAAAGATTCAACTTCAAGATGAACTTCAAAACAAAAATCTAATTTCTAACGATCAGTGACAAATTTGACTATAATTAAAAGAAGAATGGAGCAATTAAAAACACTAAATCACAACAAAAGGAAACCCTGAAAACTAGAATCATGCAATTAGAAACACAGATTATAACAAAATAAGAAGAAATCATGATAGCATATCCTAGACAAAACAGTAATCTAACCTAATCAAATAAACAGGAAAATCAAACCATTCGAGCGAGTGATCACTAATGGATAATGACCTAAAATAACAGACCAACTAATAACTAAGGAAGAAGGAAAAAACATCAGAAACAAGAAAATAAAGCAAAAAGAAATCAAAGAAGAGAGAAAAG